GGTGTTGGTCTGGTCCGTCTAACCATCTGTCAGGTGTTGGTCCGGTCTGTCTCTAACCTTCTGTCAGGTGTTGGTCTGGTTTGTCTAACCATCTGTCAGGTGTTGGTCCGGTCCATCTAACCATCTGTCAGGTGTTGATCCGGTCAGTCTCTAACCATCTGTCAGGTGTTTGTCCGGTCTGTCTCTAACCTTTTGTCGGGTGTTGGTCCGGTCCGTCTAACCATCTGTCAGGTGTTGGTCCGGTCTGTCTCTAACCATCTGTCAGGTCTTACTTTCATTTATTTTCTTTCAAGTGAATACCTCCACCTGTCCAAGTTCTCTTCCAACTGTTCCCTGTTCTCACCACAGATCACAATGTCATCTGCAAACATTGTCGTCCACAAGGATTCCTGCCTGACCTCATCTGTTAGTCGGTCCATCACCAGAGCAAACAAGAAGGGGCTCAGAGCCTATCCTTGATGCACTCCTACCTCCACCTTAGATAGAATACCACTTCTTTAATTTCACTTACAGCCCTCTTTCTCTGAAATCTGCCAGAAAATTAAACATATTTTTACACAATGGAGGCATATGTATCATTCATGTTAATGAGTTATTATTTCTTTATTTAATGCTTCAGTTTGTTTTGTGGCTCTGAACAGATTTCATTTGGAGGGAGAAGGAGCAGAAATGGCTACTCTGACGGAAAATGTGGCAAACCGCTGCTGATGTAGGTGTGTTGGACGTTTTCCTCTAATCACAGTTATTCAGAGAATATGAGCTCATTTGTATTTGAATTTTAGATATTGTAAACCAAAAAATGGATAATTATTATTACGGTTATTTATTAAGAGCTAAAGACAAAAAAAAAAAAGGTTTTTCCTGATTAATTTTCTTGTTCTCAAATAGAGATTGAGGCTTTCAGCTGGAGTTCTCACAGTGATAATAATAGTGATGATAATAATTTAATTATATTAAATTCAAGGGAAAACTTTTTGAAAAGTGGAAGAAAATTCAAAACAAAATGAACAAGACGTATTAGATTAAAGAACACTGGTCATTATCCTTTAAACAGGCAATGTTCTACTTTGCTGCAGCCTTCTGCATCTCGTACTTTGTAGTACTCATGCAAAAGAGAATTAAAAATGTTTTTTGTACCTCCTCCTTGACCTCCTTCTTGACCTGCTTTAAGTTGGCCCTCAGGTCTAGATTGACGGTGTGTTTGGAGCCCAGCAGAGCTTTCAGCATGGCATCAGCCGACATACGCACTTTCCTCAGGACAGGCTTCTTGAACTTGCCCATAATGTCCTGAACTTTGATTTTTAGGTCGTCGATCTAGAGAAGAGAAGCACAGAGGAGACAATGAGGGGGAACTGTAACACGGTAGGGCACAAAATGCAATTTAACCGAATGTGAACTGCACCGTTTCACACTAAAGGGTTTTATATATGTGTGTGTGTGTGTGTGTGTGTGTGTGTGTGTGTGTGTGTGATTGCAGGTTTACTTGTGGTTCCTAGTTAGGGTTGGGTTTCCTGAGGTATTCCTTAGTTCTGCTACTATAGACTTAGACTGCCAGAGGAAAAACTGAGCACATTTCCCCACTCTGCTTCTGTCTTTACTTGCTGTTTTTTAATAATGTCTGTGATTAACGTGTATTTCTGACCCGTCGTTCTGCGTCTGTGTCTTTTTCCCGTCCTCTCTGGCTCCAGCCGGTCGAGGCAGATGGCACTGACGTGAAGACTAAACACAACCTGCTAGCTTCCTTAGATGGATAACTTTTACTAACTGCTGTTTTGTATGCACGTTTTTGTACAGCGGCCTGAGATGATCCGTAAATTAACTGAATTGAGTTTAAAAAAACTTGCAAGCCAACAAATAAATTAAAAGTAATGCGCTGAAAACCATTTTTCTAATCCAACAAATAATAAAAGTATGTTTTTATGAAGAGAGGATAAAAAACCCTACCCTGTGGAACCCCTTAGCTTTTCTATGAGCCTGATTGTTACCATCTTTTCTAAAATATTAAGAATTTTACAGCCACACAAAGAACCAAATACTGTGGACAACATCTGAAAGTACTACGTTGGATAGAAAACAGCATGGATGAGAGTTTACTTTAGACATCACAGCTCTTTTAGCTTGTGTTATACTTATACTACCTTTAATGCACTCTTTTAAAGAATGGTAACTTAAATAATACATTGTATTTCAACATTTATTACTAATGTTGAGGATGTCCAGGTGTCAGCACACAGGTAAAGATGATGCATTGCATTCATTTATGAAGTTGGAGTCTTCAGCTTCAGCACATTGTATCAGTTGAAATAGTTTGACATGAACGAAGAACGTTAATCTTTGGTTGATGTACCTCCTTGTTGGATTTGTTGACTTTCATTTCCAGGTCGTATCGCTCCTCATCTATGGCATCAATCTTGTGGTGGATCGCTCTGCAGAGCTCCTGAACACAGAAATCAACAGAAGAATCTAGAACCTCTCCTTTAACTCTAAGGTCGTGATTCTGCAGCAGCTGAAATGTGATGGATGGTTGGGTGATGTTGGTGCTGGATATTTCCTGGTAGGTTGACTCGTTTGTTCACAAACACAAAGCTGGTGTGAGTCAGACTTTCTGACAGAAGAGATGGAATCATTAGAATATCTTCTCTGGTTCTCAGAGGGTCTGGCTTCATCCCCTCATCACCACTTAATGAAACTAAAACTTACTGATCTGTAATGAACATCTGGAATGATCTGTATTATTACTCCATTTAAGCAGCAAAAATAACTTTAACTGAACAAGCTGTATGCCAGGGCTCTTCAACTGGTGGCCCATGGGCCGTGACTTCAATCCAGCCCACTTCATAAAAAAAAAAAAAAAAAAATTATTATTATTATTATATACATATATATGTATGTATATAGTATATATATATAGGTCCTGCTGCAGGTCCTACTACAGGTCCTGCTGCAGGTCTTGCTTCAGGTCCTACTGCAGATCCTGCTG